CGGGAGTAGAAAGCCTCATCTTTCTCCCGCGGAGTGGCTGGTAGTTTCGAACTGCTGACCTTAAGGTTCACAGCCCGATTCGTAACCACTACGCTGAATTTTAACTTCAAAAGCTTTTGCTTTGACTTATTAAAAATAATCCAAAATTCACTAAAATTTACTACATATGGTATTAATGTAAACCTTGTATCCACTAATTACATTCTTTCTGTTGCTTCTTTTATCCTAGATTCCAGTTGTTATTAAGTCAGTTCCTAATCAAAGCCACTCTGTATATGTTTCCAAGGAGCAACTGGTGGGTTTGAATCGCTGACCTTGTAGTTAGCAGTCCAGTGCTTATCCTACAGTGCTACACCACGAGTCTTTTATTTTACAGATATTATTACCTTAGTAACAGTGAGTTTATTGTTGCTGTTAAGTGCTGTTGAGTCGATTCCGACCCATAGCGACCCTGTATAGGGTTTCCAAGGAGGAGCTGGTGAGCTTGAACCACCAAACTTGCAGTTCAAATGACTGCAGTCTGACGCATTAGCCCCCAGCGCCACACCAGGACTATTGGGGTTACTAATTAAACTCTAAGGTGCAGCTTGGGGTTGTTGCTGCTGTTGTTAAGTGCCGTCAAGTTGGGTTCTGACCTCTGTAAAGGGCTTCCAAGGAGCGGCTGGTGAGCTTGAACCACCAACCTTGCGGTTCAAAGTGACTTTGCAGTCCAGCACATTAATCTGAAGTGCCACACCAGGACTCCGTTGTTATTTGCCGTCGAGTTGGTTTCGACTCATAGCGACCCTTATAGGGTTTCCAAGGAGTGACTGATGAACTTGAACTGCCAACCTTGCAGTTTAAACTGACTCTGCAGTCCAGCACACTAGTCCACAGGGCCACACAGTGAAGCATGAACACAGTAATTGATAAATGAGTAAAATTAATGACACCTCAAATTCAGACTGTGCCTCGATCTCTTTCTACTCATTACACCTATAGCACAGTATTTTGCATATATCTGAACAAACACAAATATTTGAATCTTGTATATGCCTAGTAAAGAACCTAAAAACATTTATTAAACTACAACCAAAAAGCTAAGTACAGAAGTTATATTAAAAAAAGTGATTAACTGGACAACTGTTTAAGAATGAAATACTTTTATTATTATTTTAATCTTCTTACCCGAAGCTTTAACGGAGCAACATTTTTCTGAGTCCCACTCCAAAGTTCTTGTACTAAATCCCCATAGCACTTAGCCATATGCCCCTTCATACCAATGGGATTTGTCCTAGAAGGAGGAGTGGAAATTTTGCTGTCAAAGATTCTCATCAATACGCAAAGAAATACCTAATATCTGTTTTCTCATATCAAAATATCTTTTAAAAACAACTTATTGCATAGTAAATAAGGCCGGGAAATAAGATGAGACAAGATTTTTCTTCCCTAGGGTGAAGAAAGAGGAGTTTAGGTGGTACTGGGTTCATATTGACGTCAAAGAAGGTTAAAAATCCAATGACTCAGAAGGATTACCTGTTGAGTTCATACAGATGTCTCCCTGAGATAAAATACTGTGTCAGTGGCTGCGTGTTGCTAACACATTGGATGCTTGAGTTCATGAAGCAAGTGTTTCCCAGGTTACTCAGACCTGTGGCTCCCTTTTCTGTGGGAACTAGAACAAACAAAGTGAGATGTGAAGCCTACTTGTAGTAATAAGCCACAGAACAAACAGTTACTTGTACTCAATGTAATGAATTTCATAACTTAAGTTAGCTCAATGGGGCTACTCTTTCACTGTTAGAGAAGCCTTTCCTTCCATGGATTGTCTTGACAATCATAGTAATCCTCAATGACTTGTAATTATAAAGCTGCACTAAAATATTTAGGATTCAAACAATTCTTTTCTCCCAGTATTATATCTTTAAAAATATATATATAACCTAATTACAAGGTAAAAAAGAAATGTTATAAATCAATGATTCAAATCCAAATCTTTGGGTTATGAACATCAAATGCTGCTTCAGGAAGAAAAAAGAAGGGACCCAGTTACTTTTGAATTAAAAAAAAAAAAAAAGAAATTGCTAACCCTTCAACAGTTGAGAGAAAAAATATAAAACCAAACGAAACCACGGAATTAATTTAAAAGCACCTCTTTAAATAATACACTAGAGACTTACCCTTGTGTCTATCTATTTTACTACTATTGGCTATGAAGGACATTTCCTCAGGCCAACTCATATCTTTATTGCGAACTGAAAAACAGAATTAGGAATGTATTAATTTCTTATCCACCTAATTCATACCTACTCAATTGCTTCTATTAAAAAGAAAAAGGTGCTCTTATTTCTAATTTAGAAAAAATCCTACATTTAGCAACTGGCTCTGACATCATTCCTACTCTTTGTACTGAGGATAGTACAGTCACTTGGTTAGAATTAATAAGCTATTCCTGCAATTACCCACTTGAAGTACAACTATACTCAACTGTTATTAGAATTAAATCACAGACATAATAAAATCTCTTAAATTTAAAACACTACATACTAAAATTCTTTCTTAAATTGTGACAACTGTGAGAATAATCTATTCATGTTAATACAAAGGCAATTAGTAATGTTTCCATGAATCTTAGGAGAAGACACACTGAATTTTCAATGACATGTGCATGCCAGTGTGTATAGCTATGTGTACAGATGTAACCAGATCTGATTTTGAGTGGCAAGGGTTGATGACTAAGGAAAGCCTGTGCCATTTACTTTGTAAGTAAGTTGGTCTCCTTAAACTCAGAGACAGCCTGAAAATTTTTAAATGTGTAAGTGAATTTATTTGTTTCTACCCATTGCTTTGCTCCTCTTGTCAGCTAATGAATGTAGACATGTTTTTAAGACATGTTATGCACAATATAAAAAATATTTAAGGCTGCTAAAAGTATTTTTGAGATGCGTACTTAAAAATTACAACAAAAATAGTTCTTTTAAAAACAATCTAAATAACATATAAGACTCCTCAAGGGTCTAATGGGTTTTCTTTAACATGCAGAACATGACTGACCAAATAGTTGCGTTGATTATTATTGATGCTAGCAAGTATCAGTAATTGGAATTGGTTGTCACAGTTGGGTCATGCCCAAGAGCAAAAAGAAATAAACCTCAATGTAAGAGCGGAGAAGATAACGATTGGTGATATGCCGTGGAGTTGGTTCCAACTCATAGTGACCCTGCATAGGGTTTCCGAGGCTGCAAATCTTTCTCCTGCGGAACTTCTGGTAGTTTCGAACTGCTGACCTTGAGGTTCTCAGCCTGATTCGTAACCAGGACACTACCAGAGCTCCTTTAGATAATGATTAGTTAGTAACTAACTACATCTTTCAATTCTTTCCCTAAAAGTCTAATTAATATGGGTGGATGCATGCTTCCATCTTGTACCTTCAATTACCAAGTGCTGCTCATCCTGGATTTTCAAATACTCCAATCTATGATCCTCATCATCCAGAAGAGTAAGATAATTCTGTAAGGAGGAAGAGATGTTTGTATAAATTTGGTGAAAAAACTTGAAACAAATAAGGAAATACAAGTGAATGATAAAAACTTCCTGCAGATTTATAGTTCATGTCTCAGAAAGCTGGCATATCAGAGTAGCTCAGCTATACCTTTTCCAGCCCCCAGATACACAATCTGATTAACAAAATGAGAGAACAACACGGTACATAGACACACTTCATAAACATATACTCTTATGGCCCCAAAACAAAAGTTATATATTACATAAAATGTATCACATACAAAATCAAAATTTATTGAGATGTAAATTTTATAAAGAGTTTGTTGTTGTTGAGTGCTGCTGAGCCAATTCCGACTCACAGCTACCCTGTATTGAGTTTCTGAGAGTGGCTGGTGTGTCTGAACTGCTGACCTTCTGGTTAGCAGTCCAGAGCTTATCCTATAGTAGTACACCAGGGTCCTGTGAAGAGCTTACAGAAAAGAAAATTTCTCTAGTGTTGATTATGAAATTCAGAATATGTGTTAAATGAAACCTCATCACTTATGAGGATTTGATAAGGTCATGCAGCAGAACTTTACATTTTTGTTTAACCATCTAAAGTACTTACAAAATTAATTCACTTAATTCTCACAACTACTCTCAAGTAGAAATTATTATCCCCATTCTACCTGTGAGGAAATGGAGGCACACAGAAGTTAAATGACTTGCCTTTAGTTAACAGCCAACAAAAGCAGGAGCCAGGATTTGAACTCTGGCAGTGTGGCTCTTGGAGCTCTGTATGGTCTTAACTATTATACTATACTGACACTCAGTGGTGACTAGAGGAAAAGGCAGCACTTGGAAGGAAAGACAACAGGTTAAAACTAGCCTTATCACCAATCCAAGAGTATAGTTCATATTGAATACATTAGGAATAATATAGGTTAGCAATTTAATAGAATTACCACTGAACAGAATTCTGGAAGACAAGGATCAGAGAATGGGAGACAAGATTTTTTCATGATATATTTTTGTATTGCTTGAATTTTTAAAGAAGGACCCAAATTACCTGACAACAAATCCAAAATAAAATTGATTTTGTACAACAGAAAGGAAAAGATAAGTGCTTTTACTTTAGAGTATCTTTATAAAATCGTATCGGTCCTTGAGGATGAACTGTTATTGCGGATCTTAGGTGACAAATATCTACATGGATGCATATGTTGTTGTTGTTAAGTGCTGTTGAGTCAGTTCCAACTCACAGTGACCCTGTATAGTTTCTAAGGAGTGGCTGGTGGGTTGGAACCACAGACCTTGCGGTTAGCAGTCCAGTGTTTATCCTTTAGCACCACACCAGGATACCATGCGTATAGTAATCTAGAAGTTAAAAGTTTTCATTGAGATTCTAGACATGGTTTTTAGCGGTATTCAAGTAGACAAAAATCCCATCCTCATGAAGCATGGACTTAATACCTGATCAGGGCTCGGCATGACTTTGAGATGCCTCTTACCTCACTGTTGTATAACCACAGGCGCATATCTTCCTCTTTGATGCGCAGTCTCTGAGATAGATATTCATGAATTTCCTTGATGGTCTGCATTCGACTAAAACAGCCTGTATAGGCTAACACCCGCTTTAAAGGCGCATTTGGAGAAGGTACATTTCCTATGGTCATAGTAATCACAATAAGGAAAAAGGCAGATGTAAAAAATAATGCATCCCTTTCAGCAATGGGGGCCATATTATTTTAGGAAATGAGAATTACAGGTTTAATAACTTGAGAAATTAATAGTACCATAATAAAACTTTAAAATGAAGTCAGGAGACCCAAGTTTCTCAGAGGTGGGTCTCAAGTCTACACTTCAGAAGGAAAAGCAATAAAAACCCAAAGACCTAAATATTAGCAATATGTGATCCCAAGAAAAGTGAGTACACATTGGCAAATATCAACAATCAGCATTGTATCAGGCTGCCCACAACTGGGTCATATTCATGAGCAAAATGAACTCAAACTCAGTGTAAGAGCAGAGAAGATAAAATGGGACCAGATTAGAATTCCAGATAGATCACTGGATTTACCTGATCTGCTTTCTTAAAGTAAACTGTCTTTGAGTTACTAATACTATCACTCTCAGGCACTAAATGGCCCAATTATCTGGCACATTGGTATAATTACACAATAAGGAAAACTACAATTCTAAGTAGGCACAGACTCTAGATGGTCAAAGAGAGCTTTAAAGGGAAGCCAAGAAGCTTCCTGTGACCAAAAAATTGCCCTACTGAAAAATTGTGAGAGGAAAAAAATCCTAAGGCCTGCCTGTCCAATCAGATGACAGCAGACATGAGCTTGAATTCCTGAAGGGCTTGTATGGACAGAATTACGCCCTCCTGAAATATATATTGCAAATCCTAACCTCTATGGCTGTGGTTATAATCCCATTTGGTACTAATCTTTGTTGTATTAAAGAGGTAGGATTAATTCCCACCCCCTCCACACATAAGAGTAGACAGGGATGGGCAACTTGGACATTGGCTACCCAAAATGGGGGGCGGGAGGGGCTACAAAGGCAAGAAGTGACAGGCTTACAAGCTTTCAAGAGGGAACCTAGATCCAGAGGGCCTGGAGGAAGGTAGAATCTCCAGTGAGTAGTATTCAATCTGTTTAGGCGGGGCTGATGAAATGCAGATGGGTCTCTTGTGATACAATAGTGAATAATTGGTATCAGGACTGATTGTGAGGGTTGGAAATGTAAAGGTAGACGTTTTATAGCAAGGAGGGGAGTGATTAACTTTTCAGTCTAGGAGCGGAGGTCCCTAGGACCATCAAGGGAGAAGACCAGAGAGCGGGACCCTACCCAGAGAAGCAGTGATGCCTGAAATGGAGCCAGAGATGATGACGTGGAGCGATGGAGCAGCTGGAGACTTTAGATCCAGAGAGGGAGAGTGACTGTGTGCTGAAGACCTGGGGGGCACGGGGAAGGATTGCCTGGAGGGGATTGTAACCATGGCAATGAGATGATATATGATAGAATGAATGTAAAACTAATGTTCTCCCATGTAAACTATCACATAATTCACAATAAAACATTTAAGAAAAAAAAAAAAGGTAGGATTAGTGTAGGGTAAGTCTTAAAGTCAACCTAGTTTGAGATATAAAAAAAAATTAAACAAGAGAGCAGAGAGATGGGGTGAGGTAGATGCCAAGACACATGAAGATCCCCAAGGAGCCAGGAAGCAAGTTGAAAAGACGAGGACCTTCCTCTACAGCTAAGAAAGAGAAAACCTTTCTACTGGGAATTCAGACTTCTAGCCTCCTCAACTGCGAGAAAATGCATCTGTTTGTTAAAGACACCTAGCTGTGGGATGTCTGGTATAGTAATATTGAAAAGGAAAGAATTTGGTACTGAAAGAGGTGCTTCCCTAACATTCCTAAACTATGGAAGTGTTTTTGAAATGGATAGAGGCTAGAAGAGTTTTAAGGTGCTTAATGATAAAAGTCTAGATTGTCTTGAAGAGAAAGCGTAGTTTTGTAAAATTATGGACATCAAAGGGAGTTCTGACATACATGCACAACCTTGGAATAACAGTGTTCTGTGATACATGGATTGACACAGACTGAATGGGTATGGAAGGGGGAAAAAAGGGGGGGGTGTTGTTCATTGTGTTTCACTTCTGGTGTGGTGCTATAGGATTAGCACTGAACTGTGACCCACGGGATCAGCAGTTCAAACTCACCTGCTGCTCCTTAGAAACCCTATACAGTGTTACGATGAGTCGGAACCAATTCAATGGCACCTAACAATGTGTTTGACTGCCTCATGGACATTGATTTCTTCTGCCTTCAACTACAGATGTTCAAGTGTGACAGAAATAAGTATTGAGAATTATGATTACAGAACTCTTGTAAGCCTCTCTTCAACCTATAACTGATTGGATTTGCTAAGAGGAGAATTAGAATTTTCCCAGAGAAACAGGCTCCTTTTTAAGACTTTGTGGAGTATGGGGGTTTTAGGTGGAATCCTGAGCCTCACTCAGAACCTTCTGAGTTGGGACATTTGCATTTGAAAAGGCACACCTAACAACCCAGATCGGCTGGGAGAAGAGACACTTCTTATTGAAAAAAAGCACTGTAGAAAAAACACTGGATAGTTTGGCTTTTTGAGTTTCCAGCAAGTTGTTTGTTTTGGAGGAAAACCCTTTTCAAAGCCTGAGAGTTAAAGGGAACTCATGTGCAGTCTAGAATGCTCACTGGTGACCACCTGGGCCTACTTGTGAGTGGAAGTGGGGGAACTGTAGCAATGAAGACATGGGCTGAGTTTGGGCCATGTTCCACTGGCACCTGTTGATCTTGAGATAAGGAAGAAGAGGAAGGACTAGCTGGTCTGAAGTTCAGGGAGCTATGTGTACTCCTGAGCCCATAGGCACTGAGCTGGCCTCTGGGGACAAGGGCTGAGAGTGAAAGGACCAGTGATCTGAAGTGCACTCCCAAACCTGCAGCAGGTTTCCAGTTTACCTAGCTTGGATGGCTAGGGCTGAGCTGACCAGAACCCGACCAGATGAACATAAAGATGTTTGATACTGTGATCAAGTATTAATTGCTACAATTTGATGAACCGGACTTTGGCTTATGGATATAGTTGCTCAAAATTCCAACTAGAATGGAAGATTCTTCATATCAAGGAACATGCCTGTCTTCTCAGCGTACTGGGTTGATGTTGTTGCCTGTTGAGTCAGTTCTGAATCATGGTGACCATGTGTGGGTTTTCTAAGGTGTACCTAGTGAATTTGAACTGCTGACCTTGAAGTTAAAACTGACCTTGTGTTCCAGTGCTTATCATACAGTGTCACACCAGGACTCCAATGGGTTGATGTTGTTGTTGTTGTTGTTATGTGCCGTGCAGTCGGTTCTGACTCATAGCGACCTTGCACAGGTTTTCTGAGGCTATAAATCTTTACGGGAGCAGAAAGCCTCATCTTTCTCCCGCAGAATGGCTGGTAGTTTCGAACTGCTGACCTTGCAGTTTGCAGCCCGATTCGTAACCACTAAGCTACCAGAGTTCCAATGGGTTGATAGAAACGGGAAATTCAGACAATGGATACTAAAAATGTGAGTAATATAAAGGCATGAAGTGGCTGGTTTACAAGCTTTCACAGGTGTGTTTAGTGTCAGAATGAGGAGGGTAAGGTAGAATCCCCACTGAATAGTTTTCCTCCTTTCTAGAGATGGGTATGGGGCATGATGCTGACAGGACTTTTATGATTCAATTGTGAGTAACTGTTAGCAGAACTGACTGTAATTGTATCTAAGATGTAAATAGGGAACCACAGGGTGGAAGTAGGATGACTGTTGTTGTAGGGAGGGGGCTGTAGTCATTGAGATGAAGCAAAGCCCTCCCCTACAGCTAGGACTCTGTATTCAGAATTCTAGTCTATTAAACTGTCATCTAGTTGCGGTATTTCTTTCTTGCAGGTTCAAGCTCACCAGTCACTCCTCGGAAACCTTACACAGGGTCACTATGGGTTGGAACCAACTTGACAGCACTTCATTTCACTTCGGATAACTAATTTAAGGAGCTATTATGGTGGTGTATGATAAGCACTAGACTGTTAATTGTAAGGTTTGTAGTTCAAACCCACCAGCAGCTCTGTGGGAGAAAGATGAGCTTTTCTGCTTCAGAAACCCGATGTAAAGGTCACTATGAGTTGGAATCGACTAGATGGCAATTAGGTGAGTTAAAAGATAGGGCTCAGGGCAGAAGCCCAAAGACAAGGAATGAAGACGGAAGAAAGAATAAGTTAAGTCTAAACATGTAATTCAAAAGAGCAGGGAGACTAAATGACAGGAGATTATAGTAATCAAAGATAGTTATTAAAAACAAACAAATTTGCTAAACCTGAACTATTCAGGCAGACATCTATATAAAAGTTGTAGCTTAAAATGGTCATCTCTGCTTATAGGAGATCACATTTTTTGGACCAACTGATAATAAAAATATAAAGTTGGCATATTAGTATAATTCATGTAATGTACAATCACACATCTCAGGTAGATTCCCATTCATTCAATGGTCACATTAGCTTTTTTCCTCCCATGAAATGTGCTGTTACTGAGCTTTCACTTACTAAACAAGGCTGAGAAAAGTAGTGTCATCTTTTTTCTTTAAAGTGCCCAAAAAGAATTCACTCACCTAAAATAGGTTGAAAAATAACCTAAGGAAAGACTTTTGTAGCCTTGTCTGTAGAAAAGGCTATATCTAAGTCATTATAACTGTGACAAGGATTGCATATTTGCCAATTCAAAAGGAATAAAAGAGTATTAAAGCAAACAGTTGTAATAAATGGCATAATGAGAGAGATAAATAAACACTATATTATGGCAGAACAAAACCAAACCATGATCAATTTTTAAACATAAAGCAAAGCAAATCTTTTACTGTCAGCAAGCAAAGGGTAATTCCTAAAAGAAAATAAAAGAACAAATTTCTCCAATTATAAATCAGAGGATTAGTTATAAGATTACAGCAAGAAAGCATATTGTCGTAAACATCAAAATGATTAATGATTGATTTCACAACTAATTAGTAAGGAATAAAATGTAAAATTAAAAACAAATTTGGTACATCAGAACTACCCAGTTCTAGGATTCAGAAGCATCTGCAAGTGTAGCGTCCTTGCCAATCTCTACTGTCCTGTGTCACAAAAGACAAGCTCTTTGAATCCTGGACAGTTTTTACAGCATAGCTCATTAAGCAGGCAGCCACTGATTATACCTAATTTTGTGCTTTCAAACAACACCAACAAATCTAGTGAGATTTACACAAGCAGCAAAAATCTAGGATCAGCACAAGAGCTACAAAGAATGTTTACTAAAAGCACAACAATACATTCCACCTTTCATTTTATCTTTCACAGAGGATTGAAATAGACATGCTGTAGATGCCATGAAAGCAAGGCTAACATTTTTATTTAATTGAAGATTAAATCAAGAATGCTTGATAGAGATTTTATTTCACTAACAGAATACTAATTATTCCTTTATTTGGACATTTTCTCCAAAGATTAAGTTTGGTTAGGGAGGAGTACTACTTGGCTGTAGTTCTTACTGAACAATACCTTAAGGAATCTTGACACAGTATCTGATTATAATCTTTAAGGAAGATATAAAACTACTCAATTTAAAAGGCAAGATGGTACTTATAGGGTTGGCATACTAGCTACACTAGTTATAAAAGCATACTGACAATGCTAACAAAAAGTCTAAGACTTTGTGCAAATGGATCAATTCATTATTTATGAGGAGGTTTCAAGAAGTTTGTGGGAAAATTGAATCAACAGGTAATAACAAGTTTTCTATGAACTTTTTGAAGGCCTCAGCCTCCCATATTTACTTCTGAAGAAAAATTTCAAATATTTGCAAGGCAAAAGCATAGAGCAAGTCCTGTCCACAAACAGTATTGACCTTATGAAGAAATTAAAGGGGAACTTTCTGCATGCTATACAATAAAATGGGAATTTAAAGTCTCTTTCAACCTAGCATGATAAATATTAATATATTTATATTAATATCTACATTTTGCAAAAACAAATGAAACCTCCCAAACTGACACCTATATTTTGGCCTGAAGTACTGCATTCCTTCACCACCTGAATAGGGATTAACATACTGACCAACAGAATCATTTACCTTTTAGCAAAACTTTTGTTGTCATTAGGCATGCATCAAGCTAATGGTAAGTAGGAGGAGGCCATATGCATAATAACTGATTTTAACTAGTGTTGGAATGATTCGTTTCATCCTTTGTACTCAGGAGATGATACTGTCAAAGGAATTATTTCTTAGGAACTTCCATGGAGTTGAAAAGACCAGTCAGTGCCTAGCAGACTACAATTTAGGTCTATCAAACCGTTTACAATGACTTGTCTTAAATAAATAAAGTATGTGAAGTTTTGGTCTATTTATCTCATGTCTACACACTAGAAAAGCACACAAGCCTCCTAGTCAGTCTTGCGCATGACCATAGATCTAAGCCCTATCAGTGATTTACTGATTCTGCTTGAAAGCAGATGGGAATGGGTATTAGTACAGTGGCACCAGACTTTGAGCAACTTGGTTTTCACTTTTGTAAAGAAATGCATGGTATTCTTGCTGCATTCTTAAGTTACCTCTGGGTAAATGCTGAGGAAACATTCTCAGGCTCATCATACCCATATTCACCCAGATGTTAGACTGCTGTGTCCGAGTGGCAGGCTGCTGTCTCAGGAAAAGAAGATAACGAGGAAATAATTCCAGCTCTGGGATGTCTGTCTTGCTATTCTTGATCACCTGATGTTTTTAAAAAATTAAGAAAAAAATCACCCTAAGAGGAAAAAAAACTTCAATTTTTTTTTTTTAAAACCTCTGAAGGTTTATTTTTAAACTAAAACGTTCATCATGTTTACTACTTATGCACGTATTTCAGTAGGCTACTATAGTCATAGATTTAAGTCACAAGGCTCCTGATAATGGATTCCTATTCCAGGATTAGAACTTGTAGCCATTATGTTGCCTTTCATTTGGAAGCAAGAACATCAACATTAGGAAAAAAATGGTAGGTGTTATCTGTCATTCCACTAAGGCGTCCGTCCTTGTGGTGTTATGGGATAGGTGCTGGATTGCTAATTACAATGTAAGGTAGATAGTTAAACCCACCAGGAGAAAGAAGAGATTGTCTGCTTACCTACAGACTGACAGCCTTGGAGACCTTAAATAGGGTCACTGAAGAGTTGGAATGGCTGTGGGCTAGTGGTGTGGATAATTCTACTTTGCTGAAAGCATAATTTTTTTTACTTTTATCTATTTCATGTATATAGATGACTTTAAAAAAAAACTTTTTATTGTGAATTGTGTGAAAATATAGATGACTGTCTTTAAGGATGAATTCCTAGGACTAGAATTACAAGTTAAAAACATATGAAAGTACCATTAAAAAAAAATGCTATCTGTATTTATTTCGACCAATTTATAATATTCTCACAAATGTATGAATGTGTACTACTTCCATAAAATCTTATCAATGATCATCATTTAAAAACATCTCCCTTTACAATACATACAGTTTGCTTAAATTTTTATTTCTTATATGGGTGAGGATAAAAAGGATTCTAGAGAAAAATTCACTTTTTTTCAAAACAAAATACTCATGTTCTACTTGTATAAGTAGTCTATTTATACATATATTTTCTATGATTAAAAGAACTAAATTAGCTGTGCAGAACTGGTGTTTCCATTATTGGAATAAGATTTTCCACTCCAAATAACCTGCTTGCCAGTCCACAAAGGGAGACAATTCATTACTAAGATATTGCTTTATGGGTTATAAAACTAATATATTATCAATTTACAATTCCAGAAGCAGGCAGGGTCAACACTCTTTAAAATCCAATACAATCTTCAACAGTCTCAAACGATCTATTTCCTATTTCCCTAGTAAACATTTTTTTCTGCAAGAGAACTTTTTTTTTTTTTTTAACATAAAGAGACAGTAAATAAGTTAAAAACAAGCTCCAGATCTTTGCAGGTGCTCTGTGCGTTCCAGTATGCTGTGCTATGGCACTGGACAGCCTTCATTTGGGGATTTAATCAATACTTCTTACATGGTAAGCAGTAATAGAGGCTCTCTCTGACACCTGCGGACCACTGGAAGAAATACCACCTATCAATCCACCTCTCTCAGAAAGGTACTGACAGCTGCCAACAATAATTTCTGGATTCCAGTTTAAGGGTGATTTTGAGAAAGATGAATAATTTAGCATTTGCAGTTGTTAGATTACATAATAATGTACTTCTGCATGATCCAAAATGATAATGATGTACTTCTGATAATATAATGTATTTTGCTTTCCAAGATAATAAGTGATCTTATGAGCAAATTACAGTTGGGAATTGGTTAATAAATTATGGTTTATGTATCTAAGCATGTGTCTATGTAGGTATGTATAGGAACCTTTTGGAGCCAATAAAAACAAACCCTAAGCTCCTGTTATCTTCTCAGGTTTAATTAAAAAATATCATTAATACCACATGAAAATAAAATTTTGCTGAAGGTAATTAAAAAACGATTGCAGCAGTACATCAATAAGGAGCTACACCTAACAACAACATGGTGCTCAATAAATGTTTGATGAATGAATGAATGAACGAACGAATGTGATCCATTGCCTCCGAGTTGATTCTGACTCATAACAACCCTATTGGACACAGCAGAACTGCCCATAGGGTTTACAGATTGTAAATCTTTACAGAAGCAGACTGCCACATCTTTTTCCTGCAATCTTTCAGTAAGCAGCCAAGTGCTTTAAGCCACTGTACCATCAGAGCTCCTTCACAACTTTGACAGAACCAAGGAAAATTTAATAGGTACTGAGTACATCACTATCATAAGGTCAGATTTGACTTCTGGACAGTGAAATTCATATAGAAAAGTAACAGACAACCCTAGCAAATGACTAGTCCGTATGTAACTGCAGAAGCATTACTGGCTATACTTACTGGTCTAGGTAGGGCCAGGTTTGCACCGTACCAATGGTAAAGTGCTCTCCACACAGGTTCTGGGACCATTTCATAATCTCTTCCATGGATTAGCTGCGGAGTTCGTTTTAACCGTCCTCCTTCTAGTGTCAATGACGTAGCCTTATAAAAAGTGGAGTGTAAATATTAATTTTAATATTAGGGAGTCTTTTGTGTTTTAGCAAAACATACAGACATGGGAGAGCAGATGCATAGGTCAGGAACCAGTTTCAATTTGCTGGAAAAAATCAATTTTCTAAGAGATTTTATTTTCAAAGTAAACTAAGAGGGAATTCAAGGCAGATCATTTGGAAAAATAACTGGAATGTCTGACAATACACCCTCCCCTCACTTACCAACATGGTTAGGTTCCAAAGACCAGATCGTTACATGAAAATCAGTGTAATGTGAAAGTGGAGGGCGAGTCCATCATTACGTAACTGCCAGGCCGCTGAGAACCATGGCTCAGCCAAGGTGACACGTAACTATACCATCACAGTCTGCATTACTGTCACTCTCACATCACACCTTGGCAATTATTACTGACAGACAGACACTATTAACGTGAAAAACAGTGAGTACATTTTTCTATTGTCATAAATGTAAAATGTCAGCTAATGATGGCGATTTAAGGAAGAATGTAACAAAATTGGTGTTTATAGATTTCTCTCAGTAAAAAAATTACGTGGGAAAAAAAATTTCCATGTACACGTGACACTACATTTTTACAGTAGCTGTCCTAGGTTAACAACAGCAGTATTTGCAAGGGCCACTAGATTACTACTGTACACATACTCCATCATAGAGCATTCTCAAAGAAATGTACTATGTAAAGATGTTTCAGCCAGTAAGATTAAATAAATCACTAACTTTTTGTTATGTGTACTAACTTCTAGAATGAAAATTAGAAATTGAAAAAGAATGACTTTAAGCTAGGTATCAAATTACTTACTTTTACTGGTTCTTGAGTTACTAATGGCTGGTTATCAATAGCCCCTGGTTTCTGAGGGGTGAGGTGCAGTAAAATATTCCCATTGGATCCTAGCAAACACTGGTTGTTATTGTCCGAAGTGTTATGTTGTCGAGCAAAGCACATATCTGCTCCTGGTGTAGCTGAATACAGAAATCCTATAAAAAACAAGAGGGTAGAATCTCCTATTAAAATTATTACACATAAATCGGATTGAAGGTATGAATTCAATTTCAAAGCATCAGGTCAGCGCTCTTATTCTTAGAATCTTAGTCTTAGATTCTGACAAACGTGTCAGAAGGTAAGAAATACAATGTATTTTTTTTTGGACAATCCCTATGATGTAATTCAACAGAATAAAAGTTTTTAATTTGTTGCCAGATAAACATTTGTCTACTCACCCTCCTAGAATATTTAATAATTCATGATGAAAGCATCACTGCCTTCTGATAGGATGGAAAGAAGTAAGGACAAGTAGCTGGACTCTCATATATAGTCTCCCTTAATTCTTCTCTTCTATCTGCAAACTCATTCTAAGTGCTCTTAATAGGTAAAGGCAATGGGAGGTCTCGAATTAAAGGGGAGGACTTAAAGCAAAAGCTCCAACGGAAGAGCTCTAGGAGGAAGAAATGGTTTCCTAATAGATCTTTTTGAAAGGAAGGCATGATCATTACAATTGAAAAAGTCACACAGACAATGACTAGTGATGGCAACAGAATAATGAACCTCGAAGGCAATTTAAGTCATCAACTACATATTAGTCTCATTAATCACTCTGTAACTTTCTACCTGTACTATTGCTAAGCCTGTGGGTAACACATGATGAATACATAGCAATTCTTTCAAGAAAGTGAGGCAGCACAGGAGGCACTCATTCATCTCTGCCAAGAAATTTTGAATGCAACCATCTGGCCAACTGATTGGAAGAGATCTGTATTTGTGCCCATTCCAAAGAGAGGTGACCCAATGGAATGCAGAAATCCTCGGGCAATCTCATTGATATCCCATGCGAGTGATGTTTTACTAACGGTAATACAGAAATGGCTGCCAGCATACATTGATAGAGAACTTCCATAGGTTCAAGCCAGATTCCGATGTCCGATGGATCTTGACTGAAAGCAGAGAATATCAGAAAGATGTTTACCTGTGCTTTATTGACTACACAAAGGCTTTCAACTTTGTGGATCATGACAAGCTCTGGAAAACATTGCTAAGCATGAGTGTTCCGAAACACTTAATTGTGCTCATGAGGAATCTGTACCTGGACCAAGAAGCAGTTGATCGAACAGAACATGGGAACATGGAATGGTTTAAAATTAAGAAAGGTGTGCAACAGGGCTGTATTCTTTCACCATACTTATTCAACCTGTATGCTGAGCAAATAATATGAGAAGCTGGGTTATCTGAAGAAAAACATGGCACCAGGATTGGAGGAAGACTCATTAACAACCTGCGATATGCAGATGATACAGCCTTGTTTGCTGAAAGTGAAGAGGACTTAAAACATTTACTGATGACGATGAAAGAGCACAGCCTTCGGTATGGATTACATCTCAATGTAAAGAAAACAAAAATCCTCACCACTGGACCAATAAACAACATTTTTATCAAGGGAGAAAAGACTGAAGTTGTCAAAGACTTCATGCTTCTTGGATCAACTACCAACACTCATGGAAGCAGCAGTCAAGAAATCAAACGATGTATTGCATTAGGCAAATCTGCTGCACAAGACCTTTTGAAAGTGTTGAAAAGCAAAGATATCTAAGGTGAGGACTAAGGTGAGCCTGACCCAAGCCATGGTATTTTCAATAACCTCATATGTATGTGAAAGCTGGACAATGAATAAGGAAGACCATAGAAGAATTGATGCATTTGAATTATGGTGTTGGAGAATACTGAAAGTGCCATGGGCTGCCAAAAGAACCAATAGATCCGTTTTGGAAGAAGTGCAGCCAGAGTGCTCCTTGGAGACCAAGATGCCCAAACTTCGTCTCTCATATTTTGGACATATTGTCAGGAGGGACCAGTAGCTGGAGAAGATATTATGTTTGATAAGGGGGAGGTCAGAGAAAAAGAGGAAGATCACCAACGAGATGGACTGGCCAAGTGGCAGCGTCGATGGACTCAAGCGTGGCAACAGTAGTGCGGTTGGCCCATGATCGGGTAGTGTTTTGTTCGGCTGTGCGTAAGGTCGCTATGAGTCAGTACCAACTCGATGGCATCTAACAACAACAATTATATATAACTGACTCATTCGAAACTTACTTCTATGAATGGAAGCCTGCTGCTGATACTCCCTTCACTTTCCCCTCTGCCAAAGCAAACTCCTTTAAGACCTGACCCTGACTGAAACTCAAGGGGAACAAGTCATACTTACCACTGCTAGCACTTTCTGAGGCTTCAGATGCAGAAGAAATGTTGTCTGAAAATTTCTCTTCTGTGTTGTTCAGATAACTCAGGCTGCCACCTCCAAGTCTATCTTCACTCTGCTCCAAAGCATTTATTGCTGTTCCATTGGAGTATTTTCCTCCATTCAGAACAGATGACGGCTCAATTACAACAGGGTTAGTGTCCTAAAAATCACAGTCAGAGAATAAAGAGCAAAACTTACTAAGTCAACAACTATGTAGCCTACTAAAATGAATCCTAAAATTATCTGTTATTTCTAACTCTCCTGTGATTGGCTATAAGCATTTTAAAACTACATTTATGTAAAAAAAAGCATTTACATTATATGTAACTACATTTCAATCTCTTAAAGGAGGAGGAATATATACAAATAAAATTAGTAGGAAAACTGGAAACAGATTGTGGAAAACTTCTATGTTACATGAAGTATTGAGAATTTATTCTGCTGAAAAGAGGAAACCATGAAGACTTCTCTGATAATGATTATTAAAAAGGTTAAGTAATATTTTTTACTATGAAAGATTACATGGTTACTGTAGAAAGTACAAAAAATATGAAGAGAATAAATACCACATGTATTCAGATTATATCATTTAACAATAACTATAGTTACCATTTTCAACTATTTCCTGTGGCTGAAAAGATACATATATATAAATGTAAAAGATGAGTGGAATGAAGTACACAGTTAAGAGCTATGGGCAGGGCTCTATAGTTGAATTCTGTGACCAGCTACGAGACCTTGCACAGTAATATACTTCTAAGCTTAAGTTTCTTCAAGGGTAAAACTCATAGAAAAAACTGTGTGCAGTACGGAGAGGGGACTTATGTGACCTCTCAGTACTTTCTGTGTGGTGTTATGTAAGTGTAAAACTGCTCTATAGAAAATAAAATCTATCTTAAACAATATAAAGAGAAATTATCAAGTGGTGGATCAGCACATTAGCACCAAACTGAGACTCTCTCCTAAAAATAATCAGAGTGTTAAACAAAATTGAATGAGAGTACCTTTATTACCATAAATTAGGGTTATTTTATACCTAAGATTATCTGGCACTTCCCCCACACTTTAACAATGAGGGGAATTTTTATATTTAAAACTTCATTATGAAGTTTTAACAGTAAGCCTAAACCTGTATTGCCAATTAAAAATTTGAATCCACTGAACTTAATTGGTATGTGGAAAGGCACCTAGATTTTATTTTAAATCTTGCCACTCTTCCAATGAAAGGCACTGGAATTTATTCAGAGCTGATTTTCAAATGATGGAGGGATTGCTAGTATCTTCCAGGTTAACAGATCAAAGAGGAGAAAACATTTCATAAACTGCTGCTGTAGGTCAGATAGTAAGTGGCAGGACCAGGACCCCAGTCCGGGACACCTGACTCCAGAGTCTTGACTCACTACCATTACTGTAAACTGGGACCTCAGACTAACAGCTGTATACTTACTGAGTACTCACTATGTACCACTTAATAGCATCAACTCATTTACTTCCCTAACTTTCTAGGAGGCAACGCAAGATTATTGCTTGCATTTTACAGGTGGAGAAAACCAAGCCTAGAGTGTCACTCAGGAAACACACACAAAAAACTGATCTGCACTTAAGAAGCTACGTTTTATCTGGGAACATGGTGGCTTCAGATGATAAGCACTACACTGAGAACCCCAAAGCGCCAGCGCTCTGTGAAAGAAAAAGTTTCTGCTCCCACAACGATTCACAGCCTCGGAAACCCTATAGAGGGTCGCTATGTGTCAGAACCAACTTGATGGCATTTAAGAACAACTTTTTATTTCACAAAGAACATTTTTCTAATTAATACATCTCTTCAGGAAGGACAGCACTTAGCCCACTGTGTTAAATAAGTATTGCAGCCTTCTCCGCCACATGAACTAGTATTCTCTTCCCAGGTTTTTCACAACAGTTAGTCAATGTTCTTTTTTTTTTTTTTGTGAATTGAATGAATGTTTAGAGAAATGATCATCAGTTCTACATTCAACAAATGCTTCATTCCAATGATTGAAATTCCTTCCAGGTACCAACAATTAACAATATTTACTTCTATTCACTGTAACAGTGCATTCTTCCCTGTGCCTCCCGCTACTTTCCTCTTCCCTGTGCTAACCTCTCTCTTGTATTATACTGCCTGCCCTGTTACCCATGTTAACAGGTGTTTACCCTCCCTGCTTCTCTCCCCGGTAATCATCATGGATTGTTTCTTTGAACCTTTTAACGTTTTACAACACTGATCTCATACAATACTTGTCCCTTTTGTGACTCACTAATTTCAAGCATGGCAACAATAGTGAGGTTGGCCTAGGATTGGGCAGTGTTTCATTCTGCTGTGCATAAGGTCACTATGAGTTGGCACCGACTCAATAGCACCTAACAACTACAACAACAATTTCACTCAGCATACTGTCTTCCAGGTTCATCCAAGTCTTTGGGTGTTTATAACATGAGGTTACAAGAAGTTTATGGAAAAATTCCTTTATTTTTCAATTCCATTTTTCCATAAACTTTTTGAAGCTCCCTCATTGAGTATTTCAGAGTCTGGAGAGAAATATGTCTCTTAAGGACAGAGTCCTTTCTCCATGTCTCTCCCCTAATTCCTTTAACACAGAGAAGGGTTATGGAAAGCAAGAACAAATGAGGCTCATGTTCTTGGCGGTGTACCTCTGTTCACAGAGGACATATGCTGCTAGACGCTTGACTTCTATCATGTCCCTAACAGGGTGGCTGGTGTGCTGTTTAGTCAGTTCTGACTCACAGCGACTCTGCATAGGGTTTCTGAGGCTGTAAATCTTTATGGGAGCAAAAGTTCTCATCTTTCTCTTGCAGAGTGGCTAGTGGGTTCAAACTGCTGTCCTTGTGGTTAGCAGTCCAACTCGTAACCCACTACACCAACAGGACTCCTATGTTCCTATTGGAAAAGAAAATAATACTTTAACGAACAAAAGGCTAAATTAGGTAATTCTTTGAGTAAAGTATTAATAATCAGTCATTCTAAGGAACAAAATAAGAGCAACACAGACCATAAAAGTGTTCCACAAGAAACACTGTGATGTTTTATTCCAATGGCTTCATTTTCTACTTACAATGTGCTTGAAGTTATTTGCCTATTTCTCACTCCTTAGTGACACCTAAGTCTATACTTTACAATAAACAAATTCTAGAAGTAAAAAGCAAAATCAGACAGAACAATGAGGTGAAGTACATAATGTAAATACCCTATCATTTTATTATTATTATCTTTTGATAATAAGCAATGACAGAAAAGGGTATATATGAAAAACTCTGAATCAAATTCATAGAATTTTGGTTAGTGATCATTTGGTATCGGACAATGAGTGTACATGTCAATTGGTCCCCCAAGAATAGAGAAACTGGATTACTGGCATTATTCTTTTTAGTACACTAATTCTGGGGAAAAAAAATTCCTTCTGAAAATACTAAAAGCATATGATTCCAGAATATTTGGTAATAAGACTGTCCTCTTTAATGATTAACTTGGACAATGGCAAATTATCTTAAGAAATTCTGAACTAATGTTAGCTCTGAAATCCAGAATTAACTTTCTAAATAGGTCATCAACATTTCTTACCAAGGGTCTTCAACTTTTTGAAACATAATGTGAACGAAGTGGTTGAATGAGCATAGGCTTTAAAATCATAATCCAAGATTAATTTTAGATTATCCACCTTAAGGAAGATATTTCAAGCTCCTTTTTCTCTCAGCATCAGGTTCCTCACACGTATAATGGTAATACTAATATCTCCCTCACGGGTATGCTCTGAAGTTCAAATGAGGCATGTAAGGTGCATGACCTGTACAGGCACCACAATCCCAAATATTACAGCCCACAAAAGATTGTCACAAGGGAAGGAATTTAACTACCAACATGTAATAATCACAGACCCAGTCCACAGTATCAAATCAATGTTCATTTTCTTCCCCTTCAATATGTCATGATGTAGAGTAAAGCATTTTATTAATGGTCAAATCAAGACTGACAGAGCTGAAACATTCCATAGAACAACGTAGGAAAACTGGAATCTTGCTTACGTATTTAACATATTCTTTCCATTGTTGCCACCATTGCATGGAGATGATGAACCAATTGTGTCCTGGCTGCAGACCATATCTGCTCTCGCGTTCCAGCCATCCCCTATACACACAAAAGTTAGTACATTAACAGAAGTTATCTGAAGTATGTCAGACACAAGAAGACAAGTAATGAATGATCCCACTTATATGGAATATCCAGAATATGAAAATGCATACAGGCAAAACTTTATTAGTGGTACCAGAGAGTAGGGGAAGGGAAAAATTGACTTATGACTTAAAGGGCATCAAGTTCTGTTTGTTAAGTGTCGACGAATCAGTTCTGACTTAAAGTGACCCTGTATAGGGTTTCCCAGGAGTGGTTGGAGGGTTTGAACTGTCAACCTTATGGTTAGCAGTCCAGTGCTTATCCTACAGCACCACACCAGGACTCCAAGTTCTGTTTAAAGGGATGCAAACTATTGAAAATGGATAATGATGATTGCTGTATAACATGGTGAATGCAATTAATATCAGTAAATTGTACACTTGTTGTTGTACAAGTCGATTCTGACCCATAGCAACCCTGTATAGGGTTTCCAAGGAGCAGCTGGTGAGCTTGAACCACTGACCATGCAGTTCAAATGACATTGCAGTCTGACACATTAGCATACAGTGCCACACCAGGACTCCAAATTGTACACTTACAGGTGGTTAAAATGGCAAATGTTTCATTATACATAATTTATAACAAAACTTCAAAAAAAAGGGAAAACATCTCAACAATAATAGACACAGTCATGTGAAACAGATGACTACAATATACACATATTATCATTAGGAGGTTTTACAAAGAAAAAAACATACAAGAAATATACGTATTTAGGATTCTGTCACAATGCAGTTAACAACACATTACAGTTTCCATGGATAAACCAGTTTCAAGAGTCATAAAATAATTATAACTCATCACAATGATGTCTTAAAAATTTTTTATTGAAGAATAATTTATATGCCATGAAATTTACTTGTTTTAAGTGTGCACATCAATGATTTTTTACAGATGTGAGCCACCATCACCACAATCCAGTTTTATACTTCCATGACTCAAAAAGTTCTTTCATGCCACTGACAGCTTATCCTTGCCACCCAGCTCAGGCCCAGGAAACCACTACTCTCCTTCTGCTGCCTCTGTAAGATCTGACTTCTAAAAACATTTCAGATAAATAAAAGAATACACAGGTGGTCTTTTACATTTGGCTTCTTCCACTAGCATGACTTTGAAATTCATCTATGTTGTCACGCATGTCAGCAGTTTGTTCTTTTTAAACTACTGAATAGTATTTCATTGTATGGGTACCCTGCATTTTGTTTACCCATGCAAAAGCTGAAGAACATTTGGGCTGCTTCCATGTTTGGGCCATTGTGACTCATACTGCTATGAATATTCATGTATAAACTTTGATGTCTCTTGAGTAGACATCTAGGAGTAGCACTGCTGGGATGTTGGTGAATTTCTACCACTTAGTTCTTAGTTGGAACTGTAGTATCGTGCATGTTGCTATGGTGCTGGAAGCTGTGCCACCACTATTTCAAATACCAGCAGGGTCACCCACAGTGGACAGGTTTCAGAGGAATTGCCAGACCAAAATAGACTAGGAAGAAAGCCCTGGTGTTTACTTCCCAAAATAAGGCAATGGAAATCTTATAGATTATAAGCCCTTATGGGATTTGGTTCCTTTTTTTGGAACTTAAAGGTCATAGTACTGAGACATCCCAGTCACAGTTGATATTGAAAATATGTTTCATGCTTCTCTTCTATCTCCTAGTTCACTGCGTGTAGTGTCTGGGGTCTTAAAAACTTGCAAGGGGCCATATCCAAGGCACAATATTTGGTCTCTATTCACCTGAAGCAAAAGAGAAAGAAGGGAAGCCCGAAGTAGGATATGGAACGTGTATCTGACTGCCTCCATGAACAACTACTGCCTTCTTAGCTATGAGACCAGGAGAACTACTATCACTGAGCATTCACATCAAAGATTTTATGGAGGACTCCTGATCAAAAAGGGGTTAATGCAGAACAGAAATTCAAACTCTCATGGAATACAGATTTTCTAAAGCTAGTGGGGCTGCATAAATCCTTGAAACTAATGCCCTGAGGTCATCTTTAAAACACCAGAATTATCCCCTGAAGTTCTCAGAACCAAACAAGAGTTTAACTTAAGTAGGAAAAAACGTCTGCCTTGAGCATGAATTTCTTCAGAACTAACTATCCGGATAAAGTGATAACAGTAACTTGAAAGGGGGCACTGAGTTTCCGTGAATGGGGAAGGAACAACATAGAAAAGGACGGTGAGAGTGGTCGCACAGGGAGAACTGGTTGAATAGGTGTATGGTTTCTGTGTACAGTCTCAACAACAATAAAGTAAAACTTTAAAAACAAACAAACAAAAAAAAGGTGGAAGGAGGAAAACATTAAAGGAAACTATACTGTAAGCCGTTTTTGTTGTTGTTAAGTGACAATGAGTCAGTTCTGACTCAAAGTGACCCTGCAAAGGAATGGCTGGTGTGTTGAATTGCCAATCTTTCAGTTAGCAGTCCAGTGTTTATCCTACAGAGCCACACTGATATATGAAAGTATCATTTTATATGACCTGGAATGAAAAAAGAACCAGAAATGAAAATACTATTTCAGAATATTTCCATTTTTGTGAAAACCTTTAAAATTCCACTGAGTACTTGTGTATGTGTGAATACGTGAATCAATAACAATTATTTGCAAACATGGGTATTTTTGAGATTGTGGGTATTCTTTGCTTAGCTCTACTAATTTCTCGATGATAAACACTAATCATTTTTGTAGTAAAAAAATTTGCTATCCTTTCATCTATAAAATGGTTTGTTTTGTTTTTAACTACAAAAACTATATTATTCAGCGCAGTTTTCATGTTAAATGCAACTTAACTTCTGAATTAATTCATGCCCTTGGCTAGAAATGTACTTAACAAAAGCATTTCAGTATGTAATTATTTCTGGAGAAAACAGTTTTACTGTAATTATTACAGTTAAATTAATAAGAAGCGTGGTGGATTTGGACAATAAACACTGGACTGTGATCCACAAGGTCAGCAGGTGGAGACCAACAGCCACTTTGTAGGAGAAAGATGAGGCTTTCTGTTCCTGCAGAGATGTGCAGCCTCCAAAATCTTACAGGGAGTTGCTACAAGTCAGAACCAACTTGACTGCACTTACCAACAGTAACTAATGTATTTCAGGTGTTAGAAATTTCACATAAGTAATGAAAACTACATAAAGTTAAACTACAAACTTACCTAATAATTTGTCCTTCCTCTTCTGGAGTAGCTGGTCTTAACCCGAGGACTATATGACACACCTAGGAAAAAAGTGACGACTTTAAGTTCACTGGTGACTGGTGACAATGACTTGACTGCATGAGATCTACTTTCTTAATGAAAACCTGTATTAGTAAGAGCTTTCAACTAATATATTACCAATAAAAGTATTTCAAATGTTCACTTGAGCAAATTTTAACTTTTGGTTTTATTGTTTTTAAAGAAATCATTTCAATGGAGGCTAGTTTCCAAATTTCTATGTGAAATAGGAAAAAAAAAAAAAAGAAAATTAGCTGTCTAGTGCTTATTCTGGAGTCCTGGTGTGGCGCTGTAGATTAATGCACCAGACTGCAAAGCTGTTTGAACTGCAAGGTCGGCGGTTTAAGCTCACCAGCTGCTCCTTGGAAACCTTATACAGGGTCGCTATGGGTTGGAATCGACTCGACGGCACTTAACAACAAGTGCTTATCTTACAGTGTCACACCAGTACGCATCATATATATTGTTGTTGTTGTTAAGTGCTATCAAGTCAGTTCCAACTAACAGCAACCCTGTACAGGGTTTCTGAGGAACAGTTGGTGAGTTTGAACTGCTAACCTTATGGTCTGAAGTCCAGTGCTGATCCGACAGCACCACACCAGCAGTCTGAGCCATCACATTAGGGGTGAGTTAATTAAATGTTTGACCAAGTATACCAGGATAATTTTTAAGTTGATAATTTTGCATGTCCTATCAATGATGTTATAAATTTTGGCGGAAAAAAGGTTCCCCAGGAACTTCTAACAAGCCAGTGGACTACACAGACATTCTTATACGGACCCTCTACAACAAAGATACAAGGGACAAAATAAAAGATGCAGATGAAAATTCTGGTATCCTGAACTTGGTAAGAAAGTTCAGAGAGGTGGACCGCGTGCTGGTGGGGACGAGGTCGAGCTGGGTTGGTGAGAGAGGAAGAGGGAGACTAACTCAGGTGAAAGTCTGGCTAAACACAGCTCCACCATCTTGTGAGCAGCTTTGGCAGTGTGGGAGACCAGCAGAGTAGATTTGCTCAGCAGTGACAGCTTTTCCCCACACTCCACTAGTGACAAGAAGTGTGGCTAGCTCCCACCTTCATCCACCCACGGCATAAACCCTGCTCTCCAGGAGTGTGGAGCTTCATGGTTGGGAGCCAAACCAGTGTGAGGTGGGGGCAGGCTGCACTGCTTTGGTGCCTGAATTCAGGTGGATTTGGCTCCAGACCTACAAAACCCACAGAGCAGTATTTAACTAGTCACCCTGCCCCAACCTTCCCTGTGGTCCTGACACTGAAGGGCCCCCACAAATGACTTCTGGACTGAGTGCCTTGAACACAGATTACACTGAGGCTAACAGGAACTCCATCGGGGCCAGGAACTCGGCTTCGGCTGTCACATCTCTTCCACAGCCACCTCCAGAGTTCCTTGAATTGCAGGAGCCCCTGCAGATATTTCTTCCCTCTGGGTCCAACAACTGCACTGTTCGTTTTTACAGATACAACAACCCTACAATGCCCCAAGATAACAATTTTAGCTCACATAAAGAAATAAGAGAAAATGGATCAAGCAAATGAACAAGATGAAGAGCCAGAGAAATTTCTGAGGGAGAAAATGTAATAGAACTGAAAAAGATTTCAAAAGAATTATAATTAGGTATCTTCAAAGCATCTATAGGAAAAAAAAAAATCAAAGAGAACACAGAAAAAACTTTAGAATAATTCAGGAAAACACTACAAGAACATACAATAAGAAACGGAAATTCTGGAACAATACAAAATCTGCAGTTAAAAATCCAGAAGCGTAATACTAAGATCTCAGAAATGGACAATACATTTAAAGGGCAAAGGAGTAGATACAAAGCAACGAGAGCCTGAGTTAGTTAGCTGAAGATATAAATCTCTCAATACTAGTATGCTAGAAGGACAATCAGAAAAAAGCATAAAAAATCTGAAGAAAGCAAAAGAGTTATACAGGACACCATAAAGAGGAACAACTTACAGGTGACTAGAATTTCAGAACAGAAAGAGGCAAGCACACAGAAAATTGTTGAAGAGTTGTTGGAAGAAAACTCCCCCAACATCTTGAAAGAGGAAAAGATAAGCATACAAGAAAATGACTAAAGCCCAAACAGGATAGATCCCAAAGAAAATCACCAAGACATATCATAACCAAACTTTCCAAAATCAAAGACAAGGAAAGAATCCTGAGAGTAGTTCTGGAAAAGTGAAGTTAATCTACAAAGGAGAACCAGTAAGACCAAGCTCTGACTTCTCAGCAGAAACCATGCAGACAAGAAGGCAATGGAATGACATTTACAAAACTCTGAGAGAAAAGAAATGCCAACCAAGAATCATATACCCAACAAAACTGTCCCTCAAATATGATGACAAAATTAGAACATTTCCAAACAAACAGAAATTAAAGGAATTTGCAATGACAGACCAACTTTACAAAAAATGCTAATGAGCACTGTTTGGACTGAGAATCAACAACAGCAAACAACCACCTGAGATTATGATAACACCACCCAGAACTCAATCCAGAGATGTTATTTTTGTTGTGAAATGCCATCGAGTCGGTTTCGACCCATAGCGACTCTGTATAGGGTTTCTGAGGAGCAGTTGGTGAGCTTAAACCGCCAACCTTGCAGTTCAAATGGCTTTCAAGTCTGGCACATTAACCCACAGCGCCATACCAGAACTGGAAGTATTTAAAGTAAAACAAACCTACAGGACTTAAAACAGGGGACCAGAGACATCAATGTATAATGAAGTCAACTACAAAGCAAAGAGAGAAAGTATAGATGCAGAACTTCTAAAGGCAAGGAAGTCAAGTAGATTTCCAGATAAATCACTGTTTTAAGCAAGGAAAAAAATTAATAAATGAGGCACTAAGGATAAGTACTCGACCCGCGAGATCTGTTTGAACCACCAGGCTGGCAGTTCAAACTCACCAGCTGCTCCTTGGAAACCCTATACAGGGTCACTCTGAGTCAGAACCGACTTGATGGCACTTAACAACAACAAGGAACTCAAACAAAAAGAATACATCTGCACATAAAAATAAAAAAAGAGGAATATCAGAAAGATTTAGTAAACATTAACACAACAGAAATGAAAATGACAAGAAAATCCACAAACAAAAGGAACTCATGAGCTAAAGGGTTTGTTGTTGAGGTTAAATGTCCTGGAATCAGTTCCGAGTGATGCTGTATAGGATGTTTGCGGAGTGGCTGGTGAGCTTGAACCACTGACCTTGTGGTTCAAACCAACTTTGCAGACCAGCTCATTAACCCGCAGCACTACAGCAAGACTCCCAACTAAATGGTTTGTTGTTGTTGTTGTTGCCATCGAGTCGATTCCGATCCATAGCGACCCGGTGTAGGGTAATAGAAGTAAATGCTGTTAAACAGTGGGTACATGAAGGGGATTACAACTGTGTACTAAAACAAAGTGTATGGTTCACTACAAAGTTTATGGTTGAATGTGAAACTGATGATCTGTTGTGTAATCCTTCACTCAATTCACAATAAAAAGTTAATAAAAAACAACAAAAAAGGAAAAAGCTTCCCTATCCCTGATGAGCTTGAATGCAATGCAAATTGAGAAAAATTGTTACTACCAATGCTGAACGTGCTTTGTAAAGCTTATTGATCCTTCATTCATTTGCATCCCCTAAATGTCATCACAGAAGATTTGATAGCATTTTAACATGAAAATTTTTAAACATACAGAAAGATTGAAAGAATTTTATAGTAAGCACTCATATTCATTGCCCTGATTTCAACATTAATACACTACTAAGCCTGCATCTATTTCTCAATTCATTCATCAACCCTCTTATTTTTTGGATGCATGTTAAAGTAAATTGTAGACACCAGTACAGCCTTTCCTACAGGAGTGTATAGCTAACTGCCTCTAGAAACAACATAGCATTTATTTGTATTATTTGCTGGAGTTTAATATCTGTTTACAGGTTTACCTTCTGAAGTAAATTTACATAACAGTGACCTACATGGTAGTTTTCAGATTCATCCACATTTCTATCAGTAGCTCGTTCCTTTTTATTGTTGAGCAATATTCCACTGTTAGAATACACCATGATTTATCTACTGTCCTATTGACAATGGGTTTTTGAGATTTATTTGTTAAGCTTATTTGTTAAGATTTAACTGTGCTTATTGAAATTTAATAAAGGTGTACAAATCCTAAACTCAGTGACTTTTTACAAAGTAGCCATAACTCTGTAACTATCACCCAACCAAGAAAATGTACATTCTTAACATCTCAGAGGTGTCCTGGTAGGGCGCTATATGATAAGCACTGAACTGTTTGTTACCACAAGGTTGGCTGTCAAAACCCACCAGTGTTTCTAGGAAACCCTGTACAGGTCTCTGTCAGAACCAACTCAACAAACTTGACTTGACTTCTATCATGGTAAACTGGTTTTGGGGTCTGATATTTTCCATTCAATATTATGTTTGTAAGACTCACCTATGTTGTTGTGTGTATCATTAGTTCATTTCTTTCTTTCTTTCTTTTTTTTTTTTAAACCATGCATTTCCTATATAAAGTCTACCCTACATGTACACCAAAAGACATAGTTGTATGTTCTTAGAAGCACTACTGTTATAGTCAAAGACAGGAAACAGCCAACTATCTGTCAATATTGTTGCTGTAGTTGTTAAGTGCTGTTGAGTGAGTTCTGACTCATAGCAACCCAATATAAGGTTTCCATAATTTATTTATTCATCTAATGTTGAAAGGGAGTCCTGGTGTGGCACTGTAGGATAAGCACAGGACCACAAGGTTGGTTTGAATCCTAAGGTCGGCAGTTCAAACTCAGCAGTAGCTCCTATTTATTATTGGGATGGACATAATTCTCACTTAAATTCCACCTTTAACTAACCAAGTCTCCGACTTTGGGTGACAGGGCTCATTTTTGTTCCTTTATTTTATGAGAGTTGCTCAGAACAGCCTAAACCCAGAGCAGGAGGGGATGTTCTCCCTGAGCAGTATTTCACTATTGATGCATGTCACAATTTATTAACTCATCTAATGTTGACAGGGAGTCCCCTGGTGTGGTGCTGGAGGATAAGCGCAATACCACAAGGTCGGTTTGGAATCACAAGGTCAGCAGTTCAAATGCACCAGTAGCTCCATGGAAACCCAATATTGGGTTGCTATGAGTTGGAACTCACTTGACAGAACTACAACAATGTTGACAGATATTTGGGGTATTTTCTATCTTTGACTATTAACAATAGTGCTTGTAAGAACATACTACTATCTTTGTTGGTACACATGTGTACAAGTTTTTACAGGTGTACACGTAGGGTAGACTTTGAGTCACAGGGCATACATTAATCAACTTTCATAAATATTGCCAAAAATTTTTCCAAAGTGGCTCTACCAATTTATATTCCCATTAGCAATCTTTAAGAGTTCCAGCTGCTCATTATCCTCACCAACACTGCACATTACTAATTACATAACCATTCTGGTAGATGCCCAATAGTATTTCAATTGTGGTTTCAATATGTATATCCATGGTGACTAACGAGGCTAGTCATTTTCATAAATTCATTAGCTATTTTGATACTACCTTTTGTGAATACTTGTTCAGTCTTGAACAGGTAATTTTCTGTCCAAGTCTTTTAGACACTTTTATATTGGGATTTTGTATTTTTTTGTAATTATTTTTCTTTTTTACATGCAGTAGATACAAGTCTTAGGTTGCACCTATCTTCTTCCACTCTGTGGTTTTTCACCCTCAGTGGAATCTCTATAAAAGTTCTTAATTAATTTGGTGAAGAAGTCTAACTTTACCTTTCATATTTATGTCTATAATCTACATGGAATTAACTTTTGTATATGACAGGAGGACACCAACTGATGCAGCACCATTTAATGAACACCCCTTTCCCTTCTTTATTGCATTGTCATCTTTGTCATAAATTAAGTGATCGTGTATATCTGGGTACATGTAAGGATTCTATATTCTGTTCCACTGGTCTAATTTTATGCAAATATCACATTGTCTTAACTATGGCAGTTGTTGTGTGTGCCATCGAGTCGGTTCCGATTCATAGCGACCCTGTATAGGGTTTCCAAGGCTTTAAATGTTTGCCTCATCTTTCTCTCATGGTCTTAACTATGGTCACTTGATAATAAGTCATAATATCTGGTACAGTAAGTCCTCTCTGTTCTTCTTCAATATGATCTTTTGGCCCTTCGCACATTTAAAATCAGCCTGTCAAGTTCGACAAAAGCACACAAGAACAAAAGCAAGCCTAGAGTAAAAGTCTACAGAACACACTAGTAAGGGTATTATTTAAATGAGATGAAATCAGCTGCTAAATCCCCATTTTACCAAGCAAGTTGATTCAGTTTATAGTGATGATTTATATTACTTTTGTACATAATTTATACTGCAATCAATTTGAATCATTGCTAGAAGCTGAAAGTGAAGCAACTGACTGATTTAAATGGACATTGTAGGCATATCAGGTTACATAAGGGTCAAATTTGTAATAATTAGTCTTTGGCTGTCAGGCAGAGACCAATTTCTAAGTTATTCTAATATAGCTGACACAGATGAATCCTTTTTTATTTAAAAAGAAAGACCATGAAAGATAAAAGATACCAAACTATCTGATCTTTATAGGAGTGTTTTTCTAAGGGAAGGAAAATAAGGAGAAATTAAAATGCCACTATTAAATAAGCTTAACTATGAAGAACTATGAAAACTTTAATTATGCTTAAAAAAATGGAACAAGAAAATGACAGTAAAATAGTTTAAAATCTGGCAAGCACTTAATGTTCACTCCTGGCAGCTTCTCTACTTTCTTTGCCCGTCAAATCTTTCTCAGACCGTCTAAAGAACAAAGACTAAGAGACAGCCTTGTAGTTAAACCTACTAACTGGGAACACTGTACACCTGGAAATTTTTACAGCTGACTTTTTATGTTATCTTTCCAGTCACACTGCCTAATTCCTCAGAACAGACCTTTAAAAAAGGTAACAATGAAGAAAAACAGCAAATTATGATCGCTTTAAAAATTTAAATTGTTCTCTGTGTATCTACATGCAGCTTTCCACAAGTGCTAAGATAAACAAATAATCAAATACACGATGCTTCCCACTTCCCTTGTCATGATTCTGAGAAGCCTCAGCAGGCACTAAAGCTGTATCTTACCATCTCTCAGGTGTTATACATAATAATGTTGCTCTCTCTGTAATTAGTCATGGTTTTACAGCCTAGCAATGAGCCAATGTTAAGAAAATAATATCAACGTGAGACATAGATGTAATAACTCTGCTCCTATGTAACAAATGATACAGTACTACTGGTACCTGTCATACACCATAAGCATACCTGGAAAAGGAGATTCAAAAATTCGTTGGCAAGAACATTTTTCACACTCCAGATCTGATAGTCTTCCAGAGTAAGATGGCCCATCTAAAAAGAGAAAAAAACATTCATTTTGTGTCAAGAATGTGTCCACATTTCTTACAGCATTGGAAATAAATGCTGGGTGATTAAATTTACAGCGATCTAAATTTAATTTTTAAATAATTTTCTAAAGATACACAAATAATTCTCAATAGATTCTATGTTTATCTGAAAAGTAGGTCAGCCAATCCAAGTTTGAAAGTGACAAAGCTTATACAAATGCCAGTTGGAACTCTGTTAGAACAGCTAATGGTAACTGGGACTACTTGTCATCAATAATCTCCTTTTACTAATAAGAACAGGAAAAAACTCACAGTAACTTCTATATCAAGGGTTACTTTATCCTGGTGTGGCACTGTGAGTTAATGCGTGGGACTGCAAAGTCTCTTTGAACTGCAAAGCTGGCAGTTTAAGCTCACCAACTGCTCCTCAGAAACCCTATAAAGGGTCGCTATGGGTCGGAACCAACTCGATGGCACTTAACAACACAATGATATATTAGGACTCCTGGTGTGGCACTGTAGAATCAACACTGGACTGTGATCCACAGTGTCAGCAGTTCAAACCCACCAGCTACACCTCAGAAACCTTATACAGGGTTGATATTAGTCAGAACCAACACGATGGCACTTAACAACAACAACAACAACAATATATATATATATAGTGAGTCCTAGTGTGATGCTGTAGGATAAGCACTATACAGCTAATTGCAATGTTACTGGTTCAAACCTACCAGATGCTCCTTGGAAGAAGCCCTATGCAGGGTCACTATGAGTTGGAACTTATTTAACAGTACTTGACAACAATAACAACAAACATATATAAAAAAAATGAATATGTTTTCCCAGAATACAATTAAATATTACTTATGTAAATTGAATAAAAGTATTATTGTAGTATCAAAGTGTACCAAAAATTACACATAAAAGCCAATATATTTCATGCTCCAATCCAAGGTGAATGATACTGTTATTAGCTATTAGTATTTAATTTTTTTTTTTTTTTTGGTTAGTGCCGTCAAGCTGGTTCTGACTCACAGGAACCCTATGGAGGGTTTCTGGGGAGTGGCTAGAGGGTTTGAAACACCAACCTTGAGATGAGCAGTCCAGTGCTTATCTTACAGCACTATACCAGGACTCCATATAATGATAAGAAAACAATATTAATACTGTTTACTTTCATTTTCTTTTATATCTCAAATATGATAGTAGTGTTAACAAGGAAAGCTATTAACAAAGGATACAATAATCATTTATTTTTTTTTAAGATAAAGAAAAACTGACTTTCGGAATCCCTTAAGTATGAATGGACTTCAGAAAGTTTGTAGAAAAAGTGGAATTAAAAGATAACGAATTTTTTTCCATTAACATATTGAATCCCCTTCATATATATGTGTATTTCAACTGTCTATAATCTAACAACAGAGATGTGAAGTATTAAATAATAAAAAAAAATCCTTCCAAATCAGGTGTAGAAATAACCTTCCAAGAAGAGAAGACAAAACCTCCAATTTCTTGTTGTTTTTTCCCCACACACAAATAAATAAGACCACTTTCAAAAAGTAGAAGGCAGGTAGAGGGAGTAGACAAACCACTTTAGAATATGGCTGACACTGGATTATAGAATCTTTCTCAACATGCTCACTATTTTAAATTGCTGCTTCACCTACAATGAAAAGGAAGTCGTTTGAAGATTTTTTTCAAATTTAGTACGAGAAGTTGAAAACATCTGGTCCTGTAATGCATGATAGCCCAAAAAGCTCTGACTAAGAGACATGTATGTGCCTTTCCCACTACAGTGTTATCAGAACTTCAAACCACCCATTTTTAGTATTCACCTCGCCTTTGAAAATAGCTCTTTGACTATAACAATTTGGTTTAAGATTATACAGGAATAAATGATAGCATATTTATAAAAAATAATATACAGAAGCCGAAAGGCCAAGAATAAAACTTCTATATATGTTATTTTATAGCACACAATCAAACAAACAAAAAAACACAATCCATTGCCACTGAGTTAATTCTGACCCTGTATAGCGTTTCAGAGGCTATATATCTTTATGGACGCAGAAAACCTCATCTTTCTCCCTCAGATCAGGTGGTGGGTTTCAACTGCTGACTCTGCGGTTAGCAGTCCAGTGCTTACACTATAACACATCACACTAGGTTGCTTTATAGCACATGTTGTTGTGAAGTGCTGTTGAGTCAGTTCCAACTCATAGTAACCTGTGTAGGGTTTCCGAGGAATGGCTGGTGAGTTTGAACTGTCGACCTTGTAGATCAAATGGACTTTGCAGTCCAGCCCATTAATCCATGGTGCCACACCAGGACTCCACATAGATGATGATTAACAAACCTTTTAGCACACAGATGATTATAAATAAGCTTTTGTGAAATTTATAAGCATGTTTATTGTTAAATTTTAAAAAAAGTTGCAGAATGGCATTTGTTGTTAAGTACTGTCAAGTTGATTCCGACCCATAGCGACCCTGTATAGGGTTTCTGAGGAGTGGCTGGTGAGCCTGAACCACCAACTTTGCAGTTCAATTGACTTTGCAGTCCAGTGCATTAATCCACAGTGCCACACTAGGACTCCTGAATGGAATATATAACAGTATTCAATTTTAAAAACATAAAACACAGAATAGTTTATTTTACCATTGATAACAGTGTATCCTTTTACTCTCCCATATTTATAATACTCATTTATATAATACTTATTCAATCTATATGCTGAACAGATAATCCAAGAAGCTAGACTATCTGAAGAATCTGATTGTCAGGATTGGAGGAAGACTCATTAACAGCGTGTGATGTGCAGATGATACAACCTTGCTTGCTGAAAGCTAAGAGGATTTCAAGCACTTACTGATGAAGATCAAAGACTACAGCCTTCAGTATGGATTACACCTCAACATAAAACAATCCCCACAAGTGAACCAACAAGAAACATGACAATAAATGCAAAAAGACTAAATTGTTGAGGCTTTAATTTTACTTGTATCCACAATCAATGCCCATGGAAGCAGCAATCAAGAAAACAAATGAAGTACTGCACTGGGGAAATCTATAGCAAAAGACCTCTTTAAAGTTTTACAGCGCAAAGGTATCACTTTGAGGACTAAGGTGTGCCTGGTGCAAGTCACGGTCTTTTTAATTGCCTCATACGCATGCAGACGCTGGATGATGAATAAGGAAGACCGAAGAAGAATTGATGCCTTTGAATGATGGTGTTGGCAAAGGATACCGAATATATCACAGAGTGCAAAAAGAGTAAAATCTTACATGGAATAAGCACAGCCAGAATGCTTTTTAGAATTGTAGATGGCAAGACTTAAGTCTCATTGTACTTTTGGTATGTTATTAGGAAGGACCAGTAGCTGGAGAAACACATCATGCTTGGTAGAGGATCAGTGAAAAAGATGAAGACCCACAACAAAATGAACTGACATAGTAGCTGCAACAATGAGCTCAAACACAGCTACAACTGTGAGGGCGGTGCAGGTGCAGACAAGGTTTTATTACGGTGTACGTAGGGTCTTCTGAGTTGGAACCGACTCAATGGCACCCAACAGTATTAGTCCCTTACACTCACATATTTAGAATAATATTTAATTGTATTATTTTACTCAATTACTTAAAAATCCAGAGGATCTGCAACTCTGCCACATCATGCTTATATCTCAAATATAGGTGGCAAAGAGGAACATGTGGAGTATTACTTATAGACAGGCTCTGATCAAGTTCAATTCATTATGGAATTTTACAATGAATAATCAAGGACTAAAATTCCAGGAGAGAAAAAAACTAGATCCTCACGTTCTTTCCTAGTTAATCCCTCTACTCTTGAAATCATTATTCTGATTTCTATTACATTTTGCTAGTTTTGTCTGTTTTTGGACATCCACATAAATGGAATCATATAGTATGTATACCTTTGTGTGACTTCTTTTGCTCAATATGTTGATCATTACCAGAACTTAGTTGTGAGAATTTGTTTTATGTTGAGCTACAATCCATACTGCAGGCTCTTTGATCTTCATCAGTAAGTGCTTCAGGTCCTCTTCACTTTCAGCAAGGAAGGTTGTGTTACTTGCAAATCATAGGTGTTAATGAGTCTCCCACCAATTCTGATGCTGTATTCTTCTTTATATAGTATAGCTTCTCAGATTATTTGCTCAGCATTCTAACTGATTTTAAACACTTTTCCTAATTTTAAGTCAAGCAGTGTCCTTGTTCTGTTCAAATGACTGCCTCTTAGTCTATATATAGGTTCTGCATAATCACAACTAAGTGTTCTGGAATTCCCATTCTTCGCAGTTATCTATAACTTACGATCCACACAAATGCCTTTGCATAGTCAATAAAACAGACAAACACCTTTCTTGTAACCTCTCTTTTCAGCTAAGATACATCTATCATCAGTAATGGTATCTCTCATTGCATACTCCCTTCTGAATCCAGCTTGAATTTCTGGCAGTTCCCTGTTGATGTGTGTACTGCTGCAATTATTTTTTAATCATCTTCAGCAAAGTTTTACTTGCATGTGAAATTATTAGAAAATGTCCACATTTTGTTGGATCATCTTTCTTTGGAGCGAGCACAATATGGATTTCTTCCAGACGACTGACAGACAGATGTCTTCCAAATGTCTTAGCGTAGACAAGGGAGTGCTTCCAGCATTGCATCCACTTGTTGAAACGTCTCAGTTGGTATTCTATCAATGCCTGGAGCCTTGTTTTTGCCAACATCTTCATTGTAGTTTAAGATTTCTTCCTTCAGTATGATTGGTTATTGATCATAGACTACCTCCTAAAATGGCTAAATGCTGACCAATTCTTTTTGGTACAGTGACTGTGTATTCCTTCTATTTTTTGTCTACTTCTTATAAAATGGCTAGCATAGGCTTATAATGCTTTTACATATCTTATATTTAATAGAGTTTTTTAAAGATGGGGTGAGTTGTCCTTAGAGAAATATGGGAGACATTTTAATCACAGACCCTAAAGATTACTTAGTGAATATGATGCAGAAAAGACATTCAACTTGTATACACAGTACACATCCCAACTCAAAGTGCATGGTATTTTTAAAAAGCATAAACTAGTCTTTGTTAGACTCACCTTTGTGGTATCATGTGTATTCAATATGCCTTCTACAATGTCAGAGAGATCCATGTGCAGTTCCTTTAAAAATAGCAATCCAGAGGACTAATTAGAAAAGAGTGGATAACATTTTTATTATTCAATGGCCAAAGTATATTGTATTTTGGTCAGTTTTTTTTTTCCTTCCTATAAAAATTAGCATAACTGATTCTAATATTTGCTTTAAAAATTAAGACAATTTTCCTGTTTCATTCCTACTTTGCACAGTAAGTTTAACTTACTATATTTTCTAGACCAAAACAAATTAAACTCTTTCCCAATTTTGCATCATCTGTGAACATAAGGAGCTCTGGTAGCATAGCATTTATGAGTTGGGCTGCTCACCTCAAGGTCAGCAGTTCAAAACTACCAGTCAGTCAGTTCTGTGACAGAAAGATAAGGCTTTCTGTTCCCGTAAAGATTTACAGCCTCAGAAACCCTGTACAGGGTCGCTATGAGTCGGAAGTAATTCCACAGCACCCGACCACCAACACCACATGGACATTTAAAATAGACTAAGACAGTAACTAAAAGCAGTTAGCATATCTTCCTTAAGAAAAAAAAATTCCCCACTCTCTTTCTTTTTCAATTGTGAATTTACATGCAATAAAATATGTATACTCAGAACTTACAGGAATAACATCAGTGCGGTTGTCCTTCCAGACCTCTAAAAGTGCAACCACCATACCTCTCAGTTCAACCCTGGAGAGAACGCCATCACGGTCAATATCAAACACCTTGAAGCAAACTAATGAAAACAAACAAAAACAAACTCTTATAGGGGAAACTGTTTTAATATTTTGAGGTGCAATACGTTTTACTAGAAGCTACATTAGTATAACTACTTTCTTTCTAAAACAAGTGTATTCTGGATTAAATTCTCGTGTTGAGCAGTTTATATGATATCAAAGTCCCTTGACTTTGAAGGACTTTCTGTACATATTTCATAGACCGATCTTTCTACAGATGATCCAGGTTGGGGTACACTATCTTTCAGTTACATCTAGAGCTAAATTACTAGCAAACCAGAAAGGGCCATGTCACAATACCTCACAGGTTTTGAGGAGGTAATTCAAATCCTTAAATTAATTTCTAATATTAAAAAACAGGTTTTTTAAAATAATGCTGGAGATATTCCCTCTATATTAAGAATCTATAACAACATTTCAGTGTAAAGATAGCCTGCTTTTGCTTTGCCACTCTGATGTAACTAACGTATTAGTTAATATAACTGTTTGTACACATTAAATTCTTCAGTCAAGTTCATATACAACAAGCTAAGAGTTAGAAAGTTAGCACTTGCTAACTAACTCCATGTGAATTATTCTAGTTTTTAATCCCTATAAGTTCTTCTGTAAAAAAATAAAATTTAAAATAAGATGTTTGTAAAGGGCAATAATTAATTTCAACTGAGAAGCAGAGATGCCAGCCTCTTAACATTAGAACTTTAATGAAGAAAATTGCTTTGCTTAAATATAGTTCAAGGTGAAATGTTGAATAAATCTTTATTTTAGATCCAGGTTAACACTTAAATAAGATTTAATAATTGGAGTCCTGGTGTGAACTGTGGGATAATGTAGTGGTCCTCAAGGTCATTTGAATCTCAAGGTCAGTGGTTCAAATACGCCAGTCACTTCTAGGAAACCCTATACAGAGTCCCTATGAGCCGGAACCTACTTGATGGCACTTAACAACAACAACAATAATCAAGCAGAAAGCCAAGAAGGAGTAATGGTACAACATCAGAAAATTTAAAAATGAAACCTGAATTTTGAAGATTTAAAAAATTATCTGTATTATACATTTCCAAAATATAATAATGCTATTCAATCACTGACTGTATGGGATAATATTACTAAATAAGATAAAAATACCAAATACCGTACCTGAAATAGACATTTGTGAAGATGTGTTTTAAAAGATACCAAGAAAATGACACGAATAAATCTGTGTAAGTTAGGTTCTAATTAAATGCAAATGGCTTCATTTTTTCAAATATTGTTTAGAGTTAGTAATGAAATGTACTAATTTAAATGATGCTATAATAACATTGTCAGGAGCTCTGGTAGCGTAGTGGTTACGAATCGGGCTGCGAACCTTAAGGTCAGTGGTTCGAAACTACCAGCGGCTCCGCGGGAGAAAGATGAGGCTTTCTACTCCCGTAAAGATTTACACCCTCGGAAACCCTGTACAGGGTCGCTATGGGTCGGAACCGACTCGACGGCACTTAACAACAACAACATAACAACATTGTAGATAGTTTAGTATTGTTTAGGGTTAGTAATGAAATATACTTACTAAATGATGCTATAATAACATTGTAGTTAGGTTAAAAGTACCATTTTAGTATTTAATTACGTTTTGCTCATAAATTTCATTTTTCCAATAAAACATTAAAGTATGCAAGTGACAAAAAATGATCTAATTTCAAATTATGTCTGACACAAAATGCTCTAAATAGCTGACCAGAAAATATTCCCTACATTTTAAAAATTTCGTGCCCATCATGGTTTATTTGGCTTATTTATCATGAACTTCAAACTCCTCAGGAAAATCAACCTCCATTATTTATAGCAAAGATCCCACACTACTCTACAGTAAAAACTAGATGACTGATTCCTTAAACTGACCTTAGTAAAACCACAACAGAAGATAGTATCTGTCAATCTGGCAAAGTTATGAAAATTCAAGCCTCAATGCACAGATAGCCATCCACATAAAAATGTTGTTTTTCTCTGCACAATTTGCAATCTATGTGACAATGTTTAACACACTTACATTTTTGTCTTTCAGCCAGGGGTCCCCTGCAACAGGCTGATAACCCACAGGATATCTCCTTAAAATCTATGTGATTGTCACGATTTTCATCAAAAGCATTAAATAAACCTGTAAAATAAAAGACACCATAAACCACAGTTAATAAGCTTCTTAATATTAATTCTGTCATGCTTATGAAAGGAAGCATAACTCCTCCCCCTAAACTCTGGAATAAAAAGACTGTTTATCAGTAGTTTCTGCTGTCTCAGGAGTATGGTTTTCTTTTCCTCTTGGCATAATTATAACTAAAACTTAGTATCCTTGCAGAAATTATCCTTGAACTATTCTATGGTGGTTGGTGATTATGTACCACCAAATCGGTTCCCACTCACAGCAAGCCGGTATAGGGTTCCTAAGGCTGTGAATCTTTTATGAGAGCAGAAAGCCTCATCTTTCTTCCAGCAGTACCTGGGCATGCCTCTATCTTATATTAATTCTAACAGTCAAAAATTACAATAATAAATAAAAAAATAGTAATTGATAAATAACAATATGACCTCCTAAAGTGTTCACAAATTGTAACATAGGTTCTTAGTAAAGTAAAAGGAAAAAAAGTTGAGCTGCTTATTAAGTGAAAACTCAAAGATACATTGTAATGTTATTAAAAAGCTTCCATTAAGTTCTTCCATGAAGCAAAGAAAAGTAACAATATGAGTGGAAGAGATAAGTCTATTAAACTGACTTCTTTGTGAAAGTTAAAATTTTGCATATCAATATTTTAAATCCCAGAGATGAAAGGGAATATATAAACTAATTTTGTGATTTCTAAATGAAAAACAAACAAACAAAAAACACAAGAAAAAAGGAACTGGACTGATCCCCTACCCTACCCCCAACATACACAAAAGAAATGATATATCAGTCTCTAAGTCTGAAAAGGTAAAAACACAACTGCACTGTTGAAACTGGTGGTGGCCCAAGCTCTATCTGTTCTGGTATCCCAGACAGCACTTTTGAAATACCCTAGAATCTGAAGGATACAAACCATGTATTCCAAGAATCTAATCTAGTGTCCTCAATTTAAAGATTAGAAAACCAAAGCTCACAAGGTACTAGTTAAGTGATTTGCCAAAGTTAAGGTAAGTTAAAAAGGGTCACAACTGGAATGAGAAATCAGGTATTCAGATTCCGTGTTATCACTTGTGTATTCTTTATCTATACACAACAACAAAGCCACAGCAGTCACAAAGTTGAGAGTTAGAAGGCAGCTCAGAGATAAAATTAAGTCCAGTGGTTTCTAAACTGTTTATTTGCGGGGGAGGGATACAGCATTGTATCTTTTGTATGTAAAACTGAAAAGAAGTAGAGGTGGTCTGACTGAAGAACATAAAAGGATTGTATGTAGAAATCTGGAGCTCCACCCATTCAGTTTTGACCACCACCAAATCTCTACACTGGTTACTGAGGCTCCTTACTGGAGCACATTTTATAGCACTGACTGAGTCAAACTCATTTTGACAAAGATATTCATGTGCAGAAAGCTAAACTGATTTATGTAAGGTTGTTGATGTGTACAATTCCAATTCATACCCACCCCATGCTGTTGGTAAATGACCTCAAGTCAGTTCTGACTCATAGCGACTCTACAGGGTTTCTGAAGAGCGGCTGGTGGGAGTGAACCACCAACGTTATAGTTAACAGTCCAGTGCTTATCCTACAGTGCTACACCAGGAGTCCTATGTTGTTGTTGTTGTCAGGTGCCATCGAGTCGGAACCGACTCATAGCGACTCCATGCACAGCAGAACGAAACAATGTTCGATCCTGGGCCAACCTCACCACCGCTGCCACCCCCGAGTCCATCAATGATGCCACCTGGCCGATCCATCTCGTTGGAGGTCTCCCTCTTTTTCTCTGACCCTCCACCCTACCCAGCATGACATCCTTCTCCAACGATTGTTTCCTCCGGACTACATGTCCAAAGTAGGAGAGACGAAGCTTAGCCATCCTGGCCTCCAAGGAGCACTCTGGCTGCACTTCTTCCAAAACAGATCTATTGGTTCTTTTGGCAGTCCATGGCACCCTCAGTATTCTCCTCCAACACCACAACTCAAAGGCATCAATTCTTCTACGATCCTCTTTATTCACTGTCCAGCTTTCGCATCCATATGAGGCTATTGAAAACACAATGGCCTGGGTCAGGCGCACCCTAGTCCTCAAGCTGACATCTCTGCTCTTCAATACTTTAAAAAGTTCCTGTGCAGCAGATTTGCCCAGTGCAATACGTCTTCTGATCTCTTGACTGCTACTTCCGCGAGTGTTGATAGTTGATCCAAGAAGAATGAAGTCCTTGACAACTTCAATCCTTTCTCCATTGATAAGAATGTTGTTTATTGGTCCAGTGGTGAGGATTTTTGTTTTCTTGACATTGAGATGCAATCCATATCGAAGGCTGTGCTCTTTAATCTTCATAAGTAAATATTTCAAGTCCTCTTCACTTTCAGCGATCAAGGTTGTATCATCTTTCAGCGATCAAGGAGTCCTATGGGACAGTACAATTGCCCCACAGGCTATCCTAAACTGTATTCTTTACAGGGGAAGATCTTCAGGTCTTTCCTCACACAGAGTGGTTAGAGGGTTTAAAATGGACTTTTCAGTTTGCTGCTGAGCACCACAGCATGACCAGGACTCTTTTATGCAAAGTTACATAGGTATAACGTGAAGGCCTAAAACAGAATACAATCTTAATTCTCATTTTAGTTGTCTACTATACTATATAATTATTTGCAACAAACTTATACTAGTATTGCCTCGAAAATGTGTTGGCTACACCTAAGAGATGAGCTTAGGTGTGCTTGCCAATGAACAATTGTAAGTGTAATCATTCCTACCTTCGCTCAGAGATGGACGAATAGGTGGTGAAACCAATGGGCCAAATGTCTCCAGATCAAATCGTCCAGTCCGGGATTGAGCCTTCAGCAACCAATAGCGTTTCTCCAGATCAATGATGTCTGATTCCTCCACTGAGAATCAAATCAAACAAGATTACAAAATCTCAGATTCTCTTTGGGGAAATTAATTCATCTAGATAATACTTCCAAGGATACATTTTAATTAAATATTCAATTATTAAAAACAACCATGACCCAAAACAAAACTCTCAAAGATAAGATACATTAGATCTAAAGTGGTAAAAAAAAAAAAGTCAAATTAACAAAAAAATAAGAAGCTTTAAAGTCAGAAAATCATCTGCAATTTCCCATTAAGTACATTGTTTAAGTTTAACACGTAAAATAATACACAACTGAGGTGCTTCTTTTGGGTTTCAAACACGACGTTATCTGTTCTCAGTTTTGATGATTTTCAATATTTATCTTCGACTTAAACTTTCTATGTACATCTTCTCTCCCTTCTGCTAGACTGTCAATATCCTAACAGAGCATCTAAATTTGATTCATTCTGTAAATATGATGGCTGCCTTACACATACAATACTTCGTAAAGAAACGGAAGAAAAAAACACGACAGAGGATATTCTAAGAAAGTCAATAAATGATAAAGTACAGTATGATTCAAAATGGGATAGGGAAGAGGAAAATCAGGATTTAATTACTAATCTGATTTGGTGGATGGTAATATGTGAAAAGGGAGGCCTGGTGGTACAACAGTTAAGCAGTTGACTGCTAGGCAAAAGGATGGTTTGAACCCAATGGCTCCATGGGAGAAGAGCTGGGCCACCTGCTAGAAAGAAAAGATTATAATCTAGAAAACTCTTACAAGTAAAATTGGCCTAAAGACACTTAACAATAACATGTAAGTCAGTAAAAAACTTTATTTAATGGTATCACTTAAATGAGGTTTTCACAGAATCTCAAAAGGAAAAGCATGTTGTTGCTTTTTAAAAAATATAGTCTATATAGAGTACACAAGGGGGCTTCAAAAAGTTTGTGGAAAAACTCTATTATCTGTTCATTTGATTTTTTCCATGAGCATTTTGAAGCCCCTTGTGTATGTGTGCGTGTGTGTGTGTGTGTGTGTGCAGAAAGAGAGAGAAAAGGTGGGGTGGGGGGGATGTATTTTATGCAATTCTTAATCAAGACAAGAAAAAGAAAGCATTAATTCTACTTTGCGCTATCACTGAAAATAAACTTTGTCAGGCCTCAAAAGCTAAGTACTATGGTGATGGTGGTAATGTGCCGTGCAGTCGGTTCCGACTCATGGTGACCCTGTGTAGGGTTTCCAAGGCTGTAAATCTTTACGGAAGCAGAGAGCCTCATCTTTCTCCCACGGAACAGCTGGTAGTTTCGAACTGCTGACCTTGCGGTTCACAATCCAATTCATAACCACTACGCTACCAGAGCTCCTAAGTACTATACTGACTCCTATATCTGTTTCATCTAGTTTAAACCAAATCATTACTGAAAACAACTTAGTCATCATTTTGAAGAACTGAGTGCCAATATGATTGGTTCTGTGACTGGAAAAACCACCATCTTTTAGTAAACCATTACCAGAAGTACACCACAGATTAAAAAACTAAGACTGTAAAACCTTAATTAAAAGGCAAATTCTGAGTAATAAAAACTTTTAGAGACTTAAACCTTGCTTTATATCAATCAAAGGAGACCTTGATAAGCCAACTGACAATTAATTCCTATCTATACTGTGACCTTTTATGTAAGAAGTTTCAAATATGTCCTTTATATTTCTTTCTCTGCTCAATTACCAAAATAAACATATAACTAACATACATATTTGAAAAGCTGCTTTAAATCTACAAACAGAAGGGAAACAAAACATGTATAATGGAAATTATTAAAGCATTTTTAAAGCATTTGGCATGCTTTCTTGTACTTGTAATTTTTATGTATGAACTTTAATTATATAAATAATTAATTATTGAGTATCTAGAAAACAGAGAAATTATCTTTATCACAATTAATGTTATCATCCTAAAACAATTATCAACATACAAATTTTGATTCTTGCCAGTTATTTAAAAATTCGTATTACAACTAAAAAACTAGTTTAATTAAAATGTGTATTACTGCTCTTATTAAATTACTGAATGAAGAACATTGAAAATGTAGGTAACCAAAAAGAGAAAAAGGAAAACATGCAATTGCATGTTTTCATACTCATATAACTATAGTCTAAATATGACTTACATGTAATTAAATGTGATCTAGGTTGCTTGGGAAATTTATTTTCAACACTTTGACTCACTCTATTTCCCGGACCACATCATGATACACGGTCTTAGCTCATAGTTATAAATAACAGGTTAAATTTGTTTTTAAGAACTTGCAGCAAAATAATCAAGACTATGATAACGAATGTAAGAGTTTTGTACAGGAGTACACACTGTATCATTATCTTTCTTGTCCACCCAAATAATTAGTATATATTATATTCCAACTTTGTGATGAATTAATATTTATGAAAGATCCAACTAATTTGGAACTGGAATTTATTTTCTAAAAAATATAAAGCTTCTACTTAAGCATATTGCTTTCATTAAAAAAAATGACATCTATTTCAAATATTCAGTTTTATTTAAAAGGAGTATTTTAAATTTGTAGCAATAAGGAGAAAAACCAGGAGTTTGAATATAAACTGTTTCCTATTCCTAAACATCTGTCTACTCCATTTAAAACTTAAAAAAAGGAGAGAAAGAAGAAAAATGGAGAGAGAGTGAAACAGAAGTCTCTTCTATTCTAGAAAAAATCAGCTTTGTCAAGTTCTAAACTTTCTTCCAACTCACAGCTACCCTATGCACAACAGAATGAAACACGTGACCCAGTCTTGTGCCATCCTGAAAAATGGTGTTACAGTTGAGTCCATTGTTGCTGCCACTGTACCAATCCAACTCAGTGGGGGTCATCCTCTTTTTCACTGACCCTGCATTTTATCAAGCATGATGTCCTTCTCCAGGGACTGGTCCCTCCTGATAATATGTCCAAAGTATGTGAAATGAAGTCTCACCATCCTTGTTTCTAGGTAACATTATGGCAGTAATTCTAAGACAGATTTGTTTGTATATCTGGCAGTCCATGGTACTTTGAATATTCTTCGCCAACATCGTAATTCAAATGCACTGATTTTTCTATAGTCTTCCTTATTCACTGTCCAATTTTCACATGTATACGTGTTTTCAATAACCTCATATGCATGAGAAAGCTGGACACTGAATAAGGAAAACCATACAAGAATTGATGCTTTTGAGTTATGGTGTTGGAGGAGAATACTGAAAGTGTCATAGACTGCCAAAAGAACCAATAGATCCATTTTGGAAGAAGTACAGCCAGAGTACTCCTTAGAGGCCAAGATGGCCAAACTTCACCTCTCATACTTTGGACATATTGTCAGGAGGGAGCAGTCACTGGAGAAGGATATCATGTTTGGTAAGGTGGAGGGTCAGAGAAAAAGAGGAAGACCCCTGATGAGATGGATTGGCCAAGTGGCAGCATCGATGGACAAGCATGGCAACAGTAAGTAGTGAGGTTGGTCCAGGATTAGGTGGTGTTTCGTTCTGCTATGCATAAGGTCGCTATGGGTCTGTACCGACTCGATGGCCCCTAACAAATGTTGTTAAGTGTTGTATAGGTTCCAATTCATAGTGACCCTATAAAGGGTTTCTGAGGAGCTGCTGTAGGATTTGGACTGCTAACCTTGTGCCTACAGTGCTAAGACAACTAAAAATAATATGGTTTGGGTCAAGCGCACCTTAGTCCTCAAAGTGACATCTTTGTTCTTTAACACTTCAGAGAAGTATTTTGCAGTAAATTTGTCTAATACAGTAATTCAGCATGTCATCTGATTTCTTGACTGCTGCCTTTCATGAGTGTTGATTAGTAAATAAAAAAATCTGACTCCAAACCACGAGGAAGGCAGAAAGCATGACCTTACTTCTATGCTCACTCAGTAAGCACTTCTGATCAACTAGTGTTTACATAATCCACGAAATAAGAACACACAAAATGCCTTTCTGAACTCCCAATTAAAAACAATGCTAGAAACAAAGTTTATTAATCTCCTGAAAAGAACATTTTTTTGCTGGAGTAGAAATGTAGAAACATTTGAAACATATTTAGAAGAAAATTACCAGTTGGTCAAGGTCACCAATTAAAACAAGTTTCTAGAGCTGACTTTTAAGTTGTATGATCTATTCATTTTTTGGGTATAGACAGCAAATTTCTCAATTGAACATTTGCAAGCTAACATCAATAATATACATGATAATATTACCCAGAATTGAGTAATATTAAAGTGAGAAGCTAAGAGGAACAAACAAGATGGCGGACCGGGTGGACATATAGCAGAGAGCTCCGCCAACAACAACACAGAATACCTG